AGACACAACTCAGGTTTCCATTTATCGAGCATATTTTCAAGCTGGCCAGCTTTGTTCCGGAGACCGTTCGCATTCAAGTGTATGAATGATATATCACTCATTGTAAATTTATTACTTATATGTAGGTAATGTTACTTATTATTTCTGTAGAAGACTTTTAGAAATCCACTTATATATTCTATTCTTTTTTTGGTTAGATTTTCGAAATCCCCTTACATATTCTATTCTTACTTACTATATTATATTCCAGTAGAAACATCATAGTGGCTGTCGAACGCCTTAACGCCAACGGCCAATGCTCTACCAACCCTCGTGTCACAGCTCAATTTCGGGGGACGACAAGTAATATTTCCATTTAACGTGTATCTTTTCAAACCGACCAGCTTTAATTCAAGTACAAATTTACTTCCAATCCTTGCGTCATAACACGATTTCGAGGCAATTCAAGTCAGTTTCCTTCCTAGTGGCTGTCGAATGATTTAACACCAAGTGGCAATGTGCTTCCAATCCTTATGTTACATCACGATTTCGAGGAATGATTTGGATAGTCATTCTGTTATTCGGGATGGAGACGAATACAATAAATTAAAACCAATTAGGATCGCTCCAGCCGTTCTAGAGTTATACTTGTTTGAAAAAACCCGACTTTGTATTATATATATTATTATATTATATATTATTGTTCTATATATATACAGGTTTTAAAATTTTCTTTCGGAAACTCATTTAGGTTGATGAATATTACCATTAGGATTCGGCTTGGTCTACATGTATACCGTTGAACCGAACCAATACGGGTCTGTGGTCAGAGTTAAACTCGTCCTCGAGCACTGTCTGTTCCAGAATTGTTGGTTCATTAAGCACTACGAGGTCGAGTATGTTAGGTCTGTGAGACCTGCGATTGCTGACGTATGTAGGAGTGTCAGGCCCATATACGTAACACTGTTTAGTCTGTGCACTCTGTACATACTCCAGTAGTAGTCGCCCATTTCTGTCAGTCTGATTAGAATTCCAGGCTGCATGACTACAGTTAAGATCGCCCGCAATGGCCGTCAGCATGTCATTACCCAGCAGTATATCGAGATCGGAATTTAATATGTTATTTTCGTGACCTCTGTAAGCAGCGTATACGCGCATAGGTATATCGAGTAACTCAACGCCCAGAACATCTAATGATTTCAGTTGCGGATTTTCCACTCGCGTGTGAGGAATGCCATCTTTCACCAGGACCATCAGTCCACGGAAAGCCCTTCCGTTGGTCGTAACCTTGTCGCTACGGTACACAGTATAACCGAAACCGTCGAAGTTTCGTGTGACATGTGCGCCTAGTTTCGTCTCCGAAACTAGACACAACTCAGGTTTCCATTTATCGAGCATATTTTCAAGCTGGCCAGCTTTGTTCCGGAGACCGTTCGCATTCAAGTGTATGAATAATATATCACTCATTGTAAATTTATTACTTATATGTAGGTAATGTTACTTATTATTTCTGTAGAAGACTTTTAGAAATCCACTTATATATTCTATTCTTTTTTTGGTTGGATTTTCGAAATTCCCTTACATATTCTATTCTTACTTACTATATTATATTCCAGTAGAAACATCATAGTGGCTGTCGAACGCCTTAACACCAACGGCCAATGCTCTACCAACCCTCGTGTCACAGCTCAATTTCGAGGGACGACAAGTAATATTTCCATTTAACGTGTATCTTTTCAAACCGACCAGCTTTAATTCAAGTACAAATTTACTTCCAATCCTTGCGTCATAACACGATTTCGAGGCAATTCAAGTCAGTTTCCATCCTAGTGGCTGTCGAATGATTTAACACCAAGTGGCAATGTGCTTCCAATCCTTATGTTACATCACGATTTCGAGGAATGATCTAGATAGTCATTCTGTTATTCGGGATGGAGACGAATACAATAGATTAAAACTAATTAGGATCGCTCCAGCCGTTCTAGAGTTATACTTGTTTGAGTTGTGGATCTTCCAGTCGCCTGTGAGGAATGCCATCTTTCACCAGGACCATCAGTCCACGGAAAACCCTTCCCTCGGTCGTAACCTTTGTCGCTACGGTACACAGTATAACCGAAACCGTCGAAGTTTCGTGTGACATGTGAGCCTAGTATCATCTACGAAACTAAACACAAGTGAGGTTTCCATTTGTCGAGCATATTTTTAAGCTGGCCTGCTCTATACGGGAGGCTGCGCGCATTCAAGTGTAGGAACGATATTTTTTTTATTGTAAATTTATTTCTCATATGCAATGTCATTTCTAGTCAGTTTCTATATACTAGTGTAGTATAACGATGTATCTTTTCAAGCTGGCCTTCCTGTGGCTGCAGAATGATTTAACACTAAGTGGCAGCAATATGCTTCGAATCCTTGTGTTATAAGTAATACGGTTTCCAGGCACGACAAGTCAGGTTTTTATTTACGCATTGTATCTTTTCAATTCACGCAATTTTAATAAGTATCCCACTGTAAATTTATTTATTAATACATGTAATGTTTTGTTGTCACTTCTGATTTTTAGAGGGTAATAGCGCTCAAGCAGTGACTCTGACAAACTGGGCATTATACGAGCAGCGGCGATCGGAACACACTCATTGTAAGTTTATTTTTTGTAGTATTGAAATCCTTGTTTGTGGCTGTCGTACGCATTAACGTCGAGATGCAATGTGTTATATCCATATGTAACAATATGATATTCAGACACATAAACAACACTCTAATATTGATTATTGAGACCTATTATTAATTAATGGGAATAAAGGAACAATTCGTATATGTTCACTCGCACAGTGGAAAGTTAAGCATCGCTAAGGTGACTAATGCACATTTAAATAGAATATTAGTGGTTTATAATAATACAGAATTATAGAATACAGTAAATGGGGGGCGGGGGCTGACCTGAGAACAAATCAAGTATTTTTATTATATTACCAAAATATACTGGGAGTAAGGATTCGAAGACGGACACACAAGTTTAATAAACTATCAGTGTCGCAACTAGTCCAATAAGAATTATTTTTTAATACTGAAATGTAGATTCTATATCTACACTGGATACATACGTCATATGATGAATAGATTAGACTAGATAAGAAGTTGTGTGAGATATATTATTGAAATGTTTTCCTAATATGTAAATAAATTAATTGTTACTATTATATTAAATTCTAGTGGAAACATCATACCTAGTGGCTGTGGAGCGTCTAGCGCCTTAACACCAGGAGGCAATGTGTTGTGTTACAACGCGATTTCGAGGCACGACAAGTCAGGTCTTCATTTAAATTTCATATATCTTATCGAACTGGCCAGCTTTATTGCGCAGACCGTTCGCATTCAAGTATATGGATGACGATAGACATCGCGCATACAGCTATGTTATAACCATGTGCTCGACATCGTGCTGCGGCTGCGCGTCGTGCAATATTCTGCATCTGTGGCGCATTGCGTTTGCGCGGGAAAACTATAGAAAGAACTAAAATGCTAAAAACTTCTGCTACTAATTCCTTATTATTTTATATTGTTTTACATAACTCTATATGTCTGTAATTTACTTTTATTTCAATACACCTACTACTTTTATATACTACAAACTGAATGTAAATACAGCCCCTCGAATCATACCCAACAGCACGCTTATGATAAATTTATTTCTTATATGGAATATATGTTTACACGATTTTTAGAAATAATCTTATAATATTCCATGATTATTTCGAAATTCAAGTCTGTGAATACTTTGAATGATAAACCACAACTTTGTAAATTTATTTCTAGTACTAGCATTGACGTTCTCGTGTTACATCCAACATTCTGTTGCAACATCATTTTGGGGAAACAGAAACAATACTCTAATGTGCATCATATTGGATATTTAACAAGAATATAGGAACATTTCGTAGGTATATGTTCGTTTCGTTTCGTATATAGGTACTAAACCAATATTTAAATAGTACATTCATGTATTATTTTCTAATAATACAGAACAGTGTTTATAGTTATTCTATTATTCGGGATGGACACAAATATTTACAACAAATTAAAAACAATTAGAATCGCTCCAGCCGTTCTATAGTTACACGTGTTTGAACAAACCCGACATAATAATACATGAAGTATGTAAAGGTTCCAAGTCGGACACACAAGTTGCGATACTGGTGGTTTACCACTTAACATGTGACATATGACTTCGAATAAGAAGTATTCTTAGTTAATATTTTTAATGAATAGAAGGCGACTCAATCTGATAAAACTTATGGATATGAAACTCAATTTTAAAGTAGTAGAATAAAAACTTTTTAAAATTGATACTTGGTAAGTAATATTATACAATACATATTATATATAATACATTCATACACATAGTATGATATGTACTGAATTACAAGGTATAGTAATTGCTTGTAAAAGTAAGCAGGTGTTAGGATGATTCTATTACTTACTCGTATTTATTCATTCTTTACATATGTCAATGATGCTATGTAATTTTGAACAAGAATTATTCTAAAGAGCAACACGTAATAGAAAAGCGTAATGAAAATTCTTCTTGTGAAGAGTCTGCGTTAGGAACGGTATGAGTGGTAGAATAAAAAACATGACTATTCAATATTACGTTTATTTCAACAAAGAATATTTTATACAAGGTTTTATAATTTTCTTCGGCAAACTCATTTAGGTTGATGAAAATTCGGCTTCGTATACACATACATATATGTGTTTGAACTGAACCAATACGGGTCTGTGGTCAGAGTTGAACTCGACCTAGAGCACTCTCTGTTCCAGTAGGGTTGGTGTATTAACCAATATAAGATCGATTACATCAGGTTTGTGCGATTTGCGATTAGTAACGTAGACATGAGAGTCAGGCCCATAGACTTGAGACACAAACTTTTACTTCAAAACCGAAATGGGTCAGTACTCTACTGTATTACTTTATTTAGCTTAAAAAACATCAATGAAATCGCAATTACTATAAATCAGTACAGTTTATTCATATTCAACACAATTAATTACATTTTGACGTATTATTTCTTCGATTTGGACATACAGTGTAGGAATTTCTCGCATAACAAAGGCCCCATCGCAATAATGCCGGCTGCAGTCAAGGCTGTGGCGCAAGTCATGCAAATCATTGTTGATACAGATCTACCAATAGGCAATTAATATAAGATTCAAATATAATGCAGTTAGAATTAGTGTTAAAGAATATTATATATGAATTGCTTTAGACTTGTAGCTTTTTGGCACAAATTCCTAGATCTTGAACGGTAGCAAATTTGATTATTAAATATTTACTTGCAGAGTGGTACAGGCGTCAAATGGTAATAATTTTCAATCTGAAAAAAATCAAATAGTAGCTTGACTCACCATATAGATATAGAAATAATCTTTGTTTAAATAAACTTAATATAAGCACTTTGGAATAGTTTTATAATATTTTATTTTATTTTACCGCTCAGTCGGAAAACAGACACAACAGAAGAACAAACAAGAAACCTTTGGAAAGAAATGTTGTCCAGTATTACATATTTAAGGTTTAGTGTGAATACAACAGACTGCCAAATAACAAGTCTGACAAAAGTAAATAAATATAATAACTATTCGAGTATATAATATATAGCACTACATAGCATAAAATAGAGTCGCTGTCGCTGTCCGTCCCTAAACAACTCAACGGATTTTGAAGCGGTTTTTTTTTAATAAATAGAGTGATTCTAGAGGAAGGTTTATATATATAATACATTTACACCCGTGCAAAGCCGAGGCGAGTAGCTCGTCATCAAATTAATCAGTCATATTAGTATCACTCCCTGCAAAGCACGGGTGAATTCACGGTACTACAGCCATCACTGCGCTCAACCATATTTTAGGGAACATAATGACGTAAAGGTTCTAATGCTCGACCACACACGGTAGAACTAATAGTAGAAATATAGTACAATACTGTAAGGAAGTTTTAAGTTAAATGGAACATGTTTTTTTAAAGATCCGTTCTCGTGTGTGATTTTTTTCTATTAAACTGGATGGATTTTAATGCAATTTGAAGCGAAGATAGATTGTCTTATGATCAGTCAGATGTACAGACACAATATTCACATTTATACTATTAGTATGCTTTATAAATTTTCAATTCATATTGAATAATTCAATTATATTCATAATTCTTAAAATGTCATATACCGAAAAGATGGGTCGAATCTGTCGTAACATGTGGTACCAACCACAAGCCTACCACTGTACTAGAAATATAAATAGAAATAATCTTTATTAATAAACTTAATATAAGCACTTTTGAATAGTCACATTTTTTTAATAAGTAACAATAAAATGATTTAAAAGAGCAACAGGCAAGTTTCTTACTCTTTCTTCTTGTGATGAGACAGCTTTTCGAATGAGCGGTAGATTAAAAAAAACTGTGATGACTATTCAAAAGTGCTTCAATGTAAGTTTATTTGAAGAAATGATTTGCTATTCTGACTATTGAATCTCGATGCTATACTAACCAATAGGACATTCCACATTCAGGACAAAGAGGATTGGCTGGGCAGGAGCACCTTCTTATCATCAATTTGTGTGCGCAGAGAGGCAGACAAAGCACTAAAGTTGTTACACTAATCAAGCTTAAAAGTGATATGCAAATCATAAGACACTATCAGTTATTGAAGATAATCTGGAAAGAAAAAACATGTAAGACAGGTATCACACAATCGCATGATTAAGTATAACCACATATAACATATATAAGTATTTAAAAGGTCTTTTTATATAAACGTTACTTATGTTAGAAAATAATTTTGCAGATATTAGTAATAATTGATATAAAAATTAAAGTAATAATTAATGAAGTTAAGTAACAATTATATAAAAATACCTTTTAATAACTTTTCAATACTTCAACTTAGCCTATAAAATCTTGAGTCAATTATTAAATTTTAACAAATACTGATTTTAATGGAAAATGTTATTGCAATTTGGACCTTATTTTGTTTATGAAATACTTAATTAACATCACGGTTCTTTCAAATGCTAGTCAGAGGCATAAAGTGTTTGGTGTGCAAAACTTGATATGCCCACATTTGGCTGATATTTGAAATCAACGTAACAGGAAGCCAGCCTACTGTCTCTCCTATCAATTTGATATATTATCGATGTTTTCATCACCAGTGTCAGTCAAAAAATATAAATTGATACACATTTTTTAAATTGAACATAGTATTTAGGATTTCCGTCAGGTAGTAATGCACAGGCCACGACCTTCAAAACTCCAAATGAAACTAATTATATATTAAAATTGTTTTTATTAAAAATTGTCACTTTAACTTCATTTTTTGCATTTTTTCTTAGTTTTTTTGAGGAAACATAAAAATTTCTCACATATAAGAGGCCCAAACACGACTAAACCTAACACAGATACAGCAGTACAACAACTTATACAAACCATCTTGGTCCTAGTGAAAATTTAACCATTTAAAGCTTAATGCAAACAACAATTTGGTAAAGTCAGTGCTAGACGACAAATGAACTTTAGTTGTAGTGATCTCGCCGTTCAAAATGGTAGAGTTGCTGCTGTAATACCCATAGAGATCCGCTGATTATAGAATCTGCAAGAGATATTCATAGTTCAAGAAAACGATAGGGTTTTTGGGGTGAATAATTTATAGTGTAACATTTGGCACTTCGTCGATACCAACCGTATTAAAACGAGGAGAAATATAGAACATCTTACCAAGATAACCTATATAGAAAGTCCGCTGGGAACAGAGGGAACTATGCCTCTGTCTCACCGATCATCAACCGCCAAGTTACATTGTAAGTTGTGTTTTAGTTCGAATAACCACGGAGAAGATTTTATAGTGAAACGAAAAGACGAAGGCATTTTAAGACTTCGGGAATGGCAACCAATGAGAAATACTACACGCTTTTTAAGACGAGGTCAGTGGTGATATTCATGTATGATAGATACGGTTACCACTAAACTATAGGGCACATAGTTGGACCGTCAGCCTGTTTGCCATGAAGTACGCTCTGAATAAAGTCTATAGTAAACATGAATTAAGGAAAACTTAGGAACGAAATTGCAGTTTTATTAGTATACGACCTGCGTATAAATTCATGTAATTATCTTTAGCAATCGACAGTGCAATCGACTTTCCAATGATGACAATACGACGTTGATCTGGGACACGACAAAAAAATAAAATTGAGAGATAGAGCCTTAAATACTTACATCCACAGCTAGGCTACAGCAGCAGCTGCTTAGTGAACTTTAAATGCCAAAAGATAATCCCGATAGCAAGATTATCCTAGCACAATTCCACAATAATTTCATACTCATATTTTTTGGAGAAATACAAAAATAATTTCAATTATAGCAAATTAGACGGGATGATAAATTTTAATACAATTCCAAATTTAAATTATACGTTGTCAGTACTGGCGTAGTTATTACAGTATATTAGTAGAGGTGTTATGCACTTTTAAAAGTAAATTAATAAGAGTCCTCTGACCAGATCATAACTCTTAAATTATGATTGAAATTCAATTTGAAATTCAATGAAGATAACTTTAACTCTAACTGCAATAGCAAACAATCTGATGATCCAGCTAATTTTAAGTGATAACTCTACATTACTTCTATAAATAAATCTTCTTCTATAAATATAAATATATCTTCTTCTATAAATATATACCTTATCTCATCATGCATTGCCGTTCTTTCCGACTAAAGTAAGCGACTGTGCATTTAATCTTATCTATTTTGCCAATTATGAGAATAAAAACAATTACTAATGCAACTTCAACTTCTTTTTCATCCATCTTCAACCCATTGTGTAAAATCATGAAAATACTTGCGAAGTTATCTGTTTAAAGAACATTCTTGTGTACATGTGGCAACGGTAATATATATCTCTTATATTTACATATAATATTACATTTATTTTATTATTTATTATTGTTTTATATTATTGAATACCATATATATATATTTTTATTAAAAAAAAAACCCCATGTTGCAGTGCATGAAGTTTTTTGGACTGCCTGCTGGCGGTCTGATTTGTTGATACATACATTGAATAATGTCTCCCCTATTTTAAAAATACGGAACAGAATAATTTTGAAATATAAAATAAACCGTGTAAAGTTTTGTAATACAAAATTTAATGACATTTTTTTCAATTACAACTAAAACAGTGATGCCAGTTTAGGTAGAATCCCTATAAATTTAGGGAGTTTCTGTATAGCCATTTGGTGGGAATAATGATACTCGTTTTAATATCATAACTGACAAGGTGTGTTGGACAGCCTTGGTGGTCTAGCGGTTTATCACACCGCCAGGCATCTGATAGTCGTGGCTTAGATTCCTAGCACGGTATAAACATTAGTATTCCTAATTATGATTGCAGCGCGGTGGTTATCCTCATCACTGTAGCGTTATATATGTTGTGATGTGGTGACGCTACATAATATATTATTTATTATAGTATGTAGGTGGTGAGTATACCGGAAAATGATTGTACTATTTATAGGACATTATTAAGTTTATTGGCAGTGTGCTATATGGTTTATTAGTAACGCGTCCAGTCGACGCGGAGTCGGGACGTAGACTGATTTTACACTTAACTTTAATCTATGTTAGTCGAGACGTAAACTAATGGAAGGGTATTAAGTGTCGACAGAAATATTACAAGTATAGGCACATGATTAATCATGTGCCTACACTTGTAATGTTTCTGTATTATTTCTGTAATTGTTTATGTATTGGTCTGAGTGTTTTATATATAACGTATGTATTTACCAAGAATTTCTATTAGTTATATTGTGCTTAGCTTGGGACTAAGTGACGCTGTGAATGGTCCTATATAGGTCCTTGTATAATGTTGAAATAATATTAAAAAATTAATACAAAACAATGGAGCTACTTTGCTAAACATTTATTAGGATGGCATAATAAACAAACAATTTATCCACTATTAGACTTTTTTGAGCAACATGGACTTTTACATGCTTTTAAATCTGTGTTCTTATCTTCTTTTTTTCCAGATTTATTCAATGGCCAATAAGTATCTAGTACAACAGGAGCGCACGAGATACATCCGGCCGCAATTAATGCTGTCAAACAAGTCATGCAAATGATCATATCGCTAGATCTTTATTTTCGGAGACAGTGCATCAACTTGTGGATCTCCAACTGGCGGTAGCAGACTGGGACACAGGCTAGGATCGTGGCAGACGCGATCAGGGCGTAGAGGGAGAGGCAAATCATTTTCTTTAATCAACGCGATAGGTTGCCTCCTTCTGTTTCCTTGGTGGCAGTTTCTCTGCTTCTAGAACATGCATAATTATTTTGATTTGACTGTCCATAACAGTTACTTAATTTATATTCAAGTAAATTTTATAATCAGTCGTGGTCCCGGCTTCGTACGGGAGTATATACATCTATACATATAGATAAAATTGGAGTGTCTGTTTGTAATTTTGAAATAACCGTTTTTTACTACATGCATATGAATATAAATACGGTACATGTATGTATATACTAAAATAACTTTTTTTACAATTTTTGTATGTCTGTCAGATTGTTCCAGCTAATCTCTGAAATGGCTGGACCGATGTTGACGGGATTTTTATTGGCAGGTAGCTGATGTAATAAGTAGTAATTTAGGCTACTATTATTTAAAATCAATTTTATTTTAGAAAAATAAAGTTAAATTCCACGCGGACGAAGTTGCCGGAACAGCTAGTTAAATATATAAAAAAGTTAGGGATGCATTAAGATCGTTGCGTAGTTTAAGAGATTTACGCGAACAGACAGCAGAAACGACTTAATTTTATAGTATGTAATTTTATGCAGTTGCAACATCATTTACTGCAACTGTTTTTTGATTTAATTACAGGGCATGAAAGCATTTGGCTTTCACGTGGACTTAAAAAAATGTACAGATCAAAATACAACTTTAGTGATAAATGAGTAACTTTATATTTTAATGACTGTATCACCGATAGATATAGAGATAAATTTTACCTTACGAAATACACCTCCCTGTTTCTATTAAAAAAAATTACACTTCTGCCAAATTATTCTGAGGCACGGTATCTATGACTCTGGTTTCAAATTTATCGGATATTTATTAATATTACAACACATAATTTTATTGAAATATTCTTCAGAATAAATTTTACATAAAAATCAGTCCATCATGAGATAATGACAATTATGACATTGGTATATTTAGAAAAAGAAATATCAAGTTTTTATTTATTCTCGGCCAGTAAAATTCTTTATAAATCATCATAAAATTATTAATAAATATTTACATTACTAGATTTTCGATTACGTAGAAATCGAATCAGTTGATTATATATTATACGTGTTTATATACGAATACGTAATTTCTGAAATGAATTCTTTATTTGTAAATAATTATAGAACGACTAGCTGTTCCCGCGACTTTATATCCGCGTGAAATTCTAAAATAAAAGTAGCCTAAAGAACTAAAAAATATTTTGTTCGTCTTAATTTATTCATTCCATTAGGTACAGATAGGTTCAAACTAATACATTTACATCCTGCATCATTCCTTATTTCATCCCCATGGGGGTTGAATTTATCAAAATTCTGTTTAAGCGAACGTCTTCATCATAGTAGCTCCAATCTTTAATTTCAATTCAATCAGTCGAAAATCTAAGATGATACACACTTTCATCCCCTATGTTATACCCTTAGGGGTGGAATTTATCAAAATCTTTTCTTAGGGGATGCCTACGTCACAGTAGCTTTATGCATGCAAAGTCTCAGCCCGATCGGTTTAAAATTGATAAAGTTTCATATAAACCTTCATCCCCTATTTTATCCCCTTGGGGGTAGAATTAATGAAAAACCTTTCTTAGCGGATACTTACGTCGTAACATCTACCTGCATACCAAATTTCAGCCCGATCCGTCCAGTGGTTTGGGCTGTGCGTTGATAGATCACTATGTCAGTCAGTCACCTTTGAGTTATATATATTTAGATAAAACCTCTGTCTATTCATAGAAAAAATCTATTATTCTAAAATGGAACCATTTTCGGCGACGTACAAGTCACCCACCAAGTAGATAGTGATTTGTTTCTATCACGAATCATGCAAATATTCTTATCCACCATTCTTTAAACGATAAATAAATAATGTAAAGAAATATATGTAACAATTTAGAAGTGTGCGGACAACATAGAGTTGCGATATAAATCAGTGGATAGTCGAAGAGTTCATAAATGAGACTTGGGGTGCTTTTGCTTCTGACAGTTGCGTCAGTGTGGGGCTTCCCTGAGCGGAGAGCAGCTGAGAAACAGCAGCAGCTACTGCCTGGGCAGCAGCTGGAGGGGAAAGAGAATAAAGTGAGAGAAGCAACCAGAGACTGCAAGGGGAAGTGTGCCACTAGTATTGCCCAGAAGGCTGCAGCCGAGGCGAAAGCTGCGCAGGCAGCGCAGAACGCAGCTGGTGCTCAAGCTGCGCATATGGTAAATCCTTTTTTATTTAACTGACGACTTCGGTGGTCTAGCTGTTTAGCACACCGCTTTACGTCCGATGGTCGCGGGTTCGATTCCTCTCACGGTACAAACATTCGTATGATCTTTTGTATCGGTTTGGGTGTTTTCTATATATATTATTATTATGCATTTACAAAAAAAAAGTACATATGTATTTTTGTCAGTTGCTAGTAACCATAACACAAGCTCTGCTCAGCTTGGAACCAAGTGGCAAAAACCAAAATATTATTATTATTAATTAAAATTGAATTGAAGCTGATGTATATAACCATCATCTACTACTACTAGGTGAGCATTGGAATAGTAACCGATGGCTATATATATGAACAGTACTACGGACATGATGAAATCGTGTAACGCCTGCGATACTACTCATACTTGGAAAGGAAGAACTAAATCAAGTTAGGACAGTCCCATCGTGTTGAGTAAACACGATGATTTTCATATAGATCTGCGTGGAGGTTGACCTAACCTGACAAATTGATAGAAATGTCCGGTTGACTTTTATAAGAGAAACAAGGTTAATTTCCAATAAATTTATTACTATAGGTTAAATGACCAGACTTATGATATTAGGTCGTATTAAACCATCATCCTAATGTTGTAACGTAATGAAATGCTTTTACAATTCATAAGGCACACGAATTGTAAAAGCAAAAGAATACTTTAACACCTATAGAAACAACGCCTGTTGGTATATTGCAGTCATCATTAACTAATCTGAAATTTCTATATATGTGTATATTTTATATAATTTATGGCCTAACTAATTTATGAATTGGTTAAACGAAATGATTAAGTAAACTATTCATTTTCTACCATTTAGGATATGAGAATAAAATTGTATTAATAAATTTTACAACTTTCATTGAACAAGCTACTTCTTTTCATACAATTTCATTATTGACAGGTAAAAACCCAATTAGCTGAAAAAGCACTTCAAGCAGCAAAAGCCGCTGAAGCCGCTCTAGCTGGAAAACAAGCTGTAGTTGAGCAGCTACAACAAGAAGTGAAAGAAGCTGAAGCCGTAGTCGCTGAGAACACAGCCGCAGTACGACAACAACAGTCGACAGTTAACACCGCTGTACAGGCAGCACAACAAGCGACTGCCCAAGTAAATATAATTGAACTACTTACTTTTAAAGCGTCTACACATGTCCTTAAAATCGGTGATGATATCGTCAGGGATAATAAGCATATTAATGATTATCATTTGCAATTTAGGGCACTGGCCATCACTGCTCTGATATAATATGCTAATGATTTAAGTACTGCGCGCCTAATCTTTTAAACATTTGCGTTAGTACACCGTAGTGTCGCATTATTTCGCGTATAGGTCTATATATAACGAAGGTATACAATATATGTACATATTATATATATTAATCTTTGGGTAGAAATTTTATAGGGAGTCCTATCAAAATCCGTTGCACCTTTTAGAATAAGCGAAGAAACATATTTGGAACAAGACAAAACAGCAACTTTGCTTTATATTATTTTGAAAGCGTAGGTACAAAAATAAGAATCTGATAAAGATACTACAATGTTTGAAATTGGAATTGGTACTAGGGAAGTCTATATTATCATGATAAAATTAATACGTGTAAGTATAGTAACTTCGACAGTCAATTCCTCTCGCTGCTCTCGCAAAGTATGTATAGTATGTATGTAAGCAACTCGATGTATATAGATATATTTATATAGACGAATTTTATTTTTATACTGCATTCGGATTTTGTTTTGTCTTTTTGAGAGTATATGCTTGATCTTCAACAATTCCTACCCGATCAGAAAGCACAGAGAGCAATGTTTTACGAAGCAAGTGATATACGATTACTACCTCTTATTTCAAACTAAATTTGGTAGTAATTGTTGAAGACCCAATTTTTGGTCATGTGTTACGCTTCGTAAAACTTTGTTTTCTCTATTTCCAAGGATCTGAAGGACGAGGAAGACGTGAAGTTTGGAGTGTAATAATATTCAAGTTAAAAACAGTATTACAATGATTTGTATGTCTTTGTATACATGTATTGCTGCAGTGACTCTGCTGTCCTGCATTCCTGTATGCTTGAAAACCTCCTCAGTCGATACAGTTCTGGGATCCCTCTGTAAATGTACTAAAAAATGATTAATTCGATATATACTTGATAGCATGGTGGATAAATGTTCTGTTATTCTATGTTAAATTTTGAATAATAAATATTTATTAATTATATAAATAAAGTCTATTTTCTTACGTTTAAAATAATTTTGCTAACAACTGTAATCTAAGTTATATAGACATGTCAACAAATATATTCTCTCAACTTTTATTTTAATGTAGCTAAATATTAGCAAAGACCTATTCCAAGATTGTTTCTTAACGATATACGAGAAACTAAACAATTAGTTCTATTTTCTATCTCAGTCTACTGTCAATATTAATGTCAACCGAGCAGATCACAATTGGTCTAAAACAACATCGTCTTTTTGCAGGTCAGGTAGACTAAAAATATAACTAAAAAAGTGAAAGATATTATATAATGGCTAATTATTATCAAAAGCTAATTGTAATGAATAGATTTAAAGATTGGCCACTTAATATCGGAATTAAATTGGACTATAAAACGGCAAACAAGCTATCAGCCCAGCTGATGGTAAGTGGAGACCGTCGTGTTTATACATGGGCATTATCATGTGATAACAATATTACCACACATACTTTGCCAGTCCAGAGAACTCAGATGTCATGTCCTTAATCCTATAATTTCACTCTACTCTGATCCTACAACCGTAACACAGCAAGCACTTACAAAGCAAGTTGCTTGGCGGCTGAAATATGTGAGACTGAGGTACTCTCGCGTAAAATAAATTCTATACAATTAAACAAAAAATCCCAGTAGTTATTTAGTTTTTCCTAGACAATTTCACAGAAAAGTACAGGTAAGGTATATTCTATTACTTAGGCTAAACTATAATAGAAATATTAATGGACTAAATTGCTTTCCAGCACAGGCTAATGGTACAGGCTACACAACTGGCAAGCCAAATGGAAAAGTCTGCTCATTGCGTGCTAGAAAAGACTAAAATCGGACTGCAGGAGAAATGTCACAACTTGTCCGAAGCTCGAGCAAGGTTAGCTCATCTTCAACATAAGTTGCAATGCGCCTGCGCTGAATGCACAGCAACGAAGCAAGCGGCCCATTCCGCTTGTGAGGCTGCAAGAGCTGCTTGTGGAAATGCCAGGAGAAAAAAACATGTGATAAGTCGAAATGCTCTAATACCGAAAGAGTCTAAACATTGATAATGATGGAATTGACATATTTATACTGTAAGTGATTAGCGAAATGTATTTGTGTTGCTTAAATGTTTTCACTGTTCAATACAAGAAACTGCTTTAGCAAATACTAATCTCATAATTCAACTTCCAATAAATGATGGTAAAGAATGTGTGGATGCAGAAATGATGACTCTTTTAGATTAATTTCGTTTACTATAGTTTTGTAATTAACCGTGTTAAGATGTGTACGAGTAATTTTTTTTGATAGAACTACGTTCGTTTAAGCTTCTGATAATATAGTGTAGATCACGCATGAATACTGTTTTATTTTTATTGCATAATAATAAACGACACTAACTTCATAATTTATTATTAAAACTAATTATAATAATCCTGGCAGTGCCTAAGACAAGATTATTGCACGACGCAGTCTTTATTCACATATAAATAACAAATAATCGATAATTGGTGGAGAAAGTTATTCAACGAGTTGATTTTGTACACATTGAAATTATTAATTTTCCACAATACTAAGACTTATAATTATTACAAATTGATTAATTTATTAAATAACCTCACAGAGTTATTTTTTCTTTTCAACTATACTGAATGCATCATTTAGATTTTGTGGACTAAATGCCATATTGCTATTTTTATAATTAACATAAGGCGATATAGTTGCAGACGCAGCAATGTCTGATTCCACATAACTTTGTTGGGGAGCGAAATCTTCATCATTATTGAACATAGGAGCACTGGGTTGAAATTTAGGGATATATCTTGCAGGAGGCTCGGCATATTGCCCTCCAACTAATATTTCGTCATCTGTTTCCGGCCTTAATTTGGGTGTGTTCCATCTATTTTTTACCACTCTTCCATTATCGGGTAAATACTGTGGATTCTTCTTTTTACTATGTAAGTAGTACGGTTCTTTAGCCTTTTCATTATGAGCGAATATATCTGAATAAGTTATCAATTCAGGATCTTCTGCTTCATCAATATTTGGCCTTTCTAACACATCTGGCCTAGCATATATAGGTCGCTTCTGTGAATACGCATATTGATTATCAATGTTTTTCTCACGTTGGAAGCTTTGCCATGATAAATACTCGGGACCAAAGTTCTGGTTTTGCTCTTCATAATGGTTGTTATGTGTTGGGTTTTCAGAATAAATTTGTTGTGTTGGATAGGGATCAATTATACTAGTTTTTAGTGGGGCACCATACGAATCCACTGGTGGTTCTCCATAACTTTGTTTCTGTGGTGGATATTCATTAGCATACCCTGTTGGTGGTTCTCCGAAGCCAGCTGGTTCAGGTGCGTAAGGAGTGTAATGTTGAACTTTCTTTGGGACACCGTATTTTGGTTTAGTATTCGGTCGTTTAGGTGTATACCTTGGTTTAGGTAAGCGAGGTTTGTGACTCGAGGGCCCATATTTTGCACTTACATGTTTTCTATATTTCTTAGCTGGCTTTCTAAATTTATACGGTCCATATTTTGATCTTTGGTGTCCATATTTACTAGTTTGTTTTGGTGGAACAATCCTCGATACCCTTCTATAGATTATTTTGGGTTTGTGGGTATATACAGGTTCTACGTGGAAATCGTCTATTAGCAATGTCGCCTCACGTTTGTTGATCCGTTTGTCTGATTTTCGATCTAAGAGGCCTCGATTCTGGTTTTTTCCCTGCACGCATGTAGCGGTCACTATTATCTGTAACAAAAAATAGTAATTTTAAATATTTAATAGTCGTTTCCCGGTTTTTCACGGGAGAATTTTTGAAATAGAATTGTTATCGCCTGTTTACCTTTCGTGAGAAGCCTCATTGGGTTGAATTTAAAATATTTTATAAATATTAACAAATTTAATCTCGAAATAAGTAGATATAACCTTATTTCGAGGGTTTATGATAACAAAGATTACAGATAGACAAATGATATATAAAATTATATTGAGGTTTTGATTCTCTTACAAATTCATAATCCATTCTGTCAAATATTCGCAATAAATTTGGTATTATAATTGATATATTTTATGTGTATGGTAGCTTATACAAAGATTTATATATATCATTAAACAGAAATTTAAATTGGATGCGGTTTTCATTTAGGAATGTAGGCCCGAAGAAAGTTAGAAAGTTTTTACCTAGGTTACAATTTTGGTGTACAAAATTTTAGAAATTTAATATATTCATAAAAATAGCTAAATATTACGTGGGTGGTAAATAATGGACTATAATTGTTTTGAGTCAAGGTATTTTAGCTCGAGACAGTTATCTATCGGATGTATTGTTAGATATTAGACAGTCACTGGGTGGCTCACTTACTACATTTATGTAATATATCCTTATTTCCCTTGGTCACGCCATCTTGAATGATTTTATCGTTTTTTTAGGAAGTTAGCTCAGAAAGTTAGAACATTTTAGAAACTGTTTAATATTTATATGTAATATATAACATTTACGTGTTGCAATGTTAGTTGTCTTACTTGTCGTAAATGGTTTAGCAAATTTGATGAAACATATACTGTATACCCAGTAGGTCTGAAACTAGATTATTTTTTATACCCCTAAGTATAAACTTTATAATATTAGTATTATTAAGTTATTAAGTAGTATTAAGTTTACTTAGGGGTATAAAAAATAATAGGGTAATAATTTGCAACTGCAAAAAAAAAAATCGGTAACACTGCAGTACCATTTCAAGAGAAGGGAGTCTTTTTATAGTTTACGTTTTAGTGAGCTGGTTTCGGTTGATGGTTGAGATTAGGTAGTGAAATTACAGTAATAAGAGGCTTAACGATATATTACATGTATATAACGAATATCTCATTATAATTATCTTATGTATAAAATTCTCTTGTCACAGTTTTCGTTCCCATACTCCTCCGAAACGGCTTGACCGATTCTCATGAAATTTTGTGAGCGTATTAGTAGGTCTGAGAATCGGCCAACATCTATTTTTCATCCCCCTAAATGTTAAGGGTAGTCCACCCCTAAATTTTTTTTTATTTTAATTGGCACAGCTAATTGACTATATAACTTTATATTTATATTTTTATTTGTTACCGGTAATTTATAAAACCGTAATGTTTATATATTATAATTTTGTTGTATGCTGAAAGTACAAACAAAAGATTTATCTGTACAACTATCGTATAAAGTGCGAGCCGTTGTGATATTCATGTATAATATCTCAGGACAACGCGCTGTGTGGCCATCTAGTCCCAAGCTCAGTTGAGCTTGTGTTATGTATACTACATTGATATAAATACATAAATGCATTTGTTTTGTATAAACATACATAATATATATATATAGAATACACCAAGATCGATACAAACATACTCATGAATATAAATGTATGTACCGTGCGAGGAATCGAACCCGCGACCATCTGAAGTTAAGCGGTGAAAATACAGACATGTTAATAGCTATCATTTGTCGGGTAAGCCGTTTAGTTTTTAATTATAATTGCATTGAAAAACCACATTTATGTATTGAGTATACGATGTTATTTTTTTATTATTGTATATATAATTATATGTCTTAATATGTTATTTATTTATTATTGTATATAATTATATGTTTATTAAAATAGAAGAAGATTGTTGTGATGATTAATAGAGCGGTAAATTTCAATGTAAATATTCTCACAGCTAAAAATAACATCACATGTTTTGTCGGTTTTCTGTTTGTTTTCTCTGAGAGTGCGTGACTGTAATAGTTGAAAGTAAATTATTCGGCCGTTAGGAAACTTATGTTTTTTAAACGTTAGTTATTATAAAGTAATTTACAGATTTCTAGGTCAAACCTATTTAAAGGAAATTGTCGATTGAAGCTGAGGCAAATCTATCATGATTTTTTTAAAGTTATAAATAGAAATGATTTAACGTTTTCTTCTGCAATGATTAAACTCAAAAAGTAGTTAATCGATTTTAAAAATTCTTTTACTTTTTTTTTCGGACTACTCTAATGCTGTTGGCCGCAACTGGCCTTTACAGTTTCACCGGACGATAGGGGGCGAGTGCAGATGGCACTCCAAAACCGCGGAAGGACTTATGGAGCGGCTGAAGGCCAACCCCCGCCTGACGGATACGACTTTAGTCTGAGGGGTTCGAACCTCGGCTCAGCGTCAGCCGTCGTAACATCGATCCCCGTTGAATTGGACGGAGGATCGATCGGAGGGGCAATTCTTTTAGATATATAGATCTATATTTATAGAGAAAATGCGACACGTCCCGGCTACGCAAGGATGCATTAAAATTTGTTTAATTTCTCAGTTCTATACTAACAAGCACGTGTTATACATACAAACCTTCCTCTTGAATCACTATCTATTGATGAAAATTGAAATAAAATCCGTTGGGTCATTTAAATTTACTTCCGATGATGCGGGTTCGATACCTCGCACGGTGTAAACATTTGTATTCATGAGTATGATTGTTTCTATCAGTCTGGATGTAAAAATCTAAGTATTTTTATCGGTTGTCTAGTACCCATAACACAAGCTCTGCTTACCGTGCGACTAGATGGTGCTGTATTAATTGTCCAGTGTTATTTATTACTGATGAAATAAATAAAATCGGTATTCTATATTAATTTAAATGATAATACCCGTGACAGAAATTGCCCGATATTTTATTATTATCAAAGATAAGATAATATTACATATACACCTATACATATAAGGTATTCCTCGTGTCTGTCTGTTTATTCGCAATAATCTGAAAAACTTTGAATGGATTATCATGCGGTTTTTATCTATCAATATAATTAGGTCATTATATGGATATATGCATAGCAATGAAATGAAAGTCAAGGTTATTTACGTTTCCTTATTATATCGATCAACTTGCAAATATTTACCTTTCATATGATCGTATTTCTTATTTCGTTTGACATTTTTAGTGGTACTAATTAAATTTTGATTGGATTACGTCATAAGTATACTGGTTGGAACATAGCGTAACTTATAGTTTGAACGATCCAGTTTAGGAAAAGAAAAATCTGCATGGTAAATAAATATTATTATTGACAATTGATACTGGTATATATTTATATTTGTTTCTTGAAAATTGAAAAATAATGTAACAAAAGAAATTTCTACGTTATAACAGTCGTCTTTTATATTGGGGTATTTGGGCTATTTTCCTTATATTTTACCTGTAACAGGTCTTAGCATCTGAAACTGCGACTCGTATAGATCTATTGTGCTCGCCCTTATTCAAAGTTCTCTACCTAGATCCGTAAGGGATAAGAATTGAAGGATATTCTTAGGAGCGATGGGTTTTATCTTCTCAGGTAATATATAATATAATATACTTTCTAAAGTAGATATTTCGTTTAGGCATGAGAGTACTATCAAATGTGTAGTGGCGTTACAGCTCTTCTGCAAAAATCTGCAAATTGATATTACATTTTTCATGTGTATATGTATATATTATAAAATTGACAAAAAAAATAATTTTCATTGTCAAACACACCATATAGCCAAAAACAACCTTAAGAAATGGTTATTAACATTAGATTATGAACACGCCAACCATTTTTCATGTGTATATGTATATATAATAAAAGTAACAAAAAAAATAATTTTCATTTCAAACACACCATATCAAAAACAACCTTTCTCAAGACACACACATACAGTCACACACACATACACTCACACACATACACTCACACACATATACTCACACACATACACTCACACACACACACCCGTACACACTTAAATTGTGAAATATCATAACAAACTCACTTAAAGTACATCTCAATATGGAAGAGGACACATGACTTCTGAAACACAGGTGTTTTCTATACCTACCTCAGAAGTCAGGGATTTCATAAATTATTTGTAAAAATATGTGAAAGAAATAAACGCCCTAAGAAAAGATGGATGGATGTGTGAAAGATGATATGAATAAAAGAAGAGTATGTTCAGATATGACGACTGATAGAGAGCAGTGGAAGAGAATGACATACTGCGCCGACCACAAATAATGGGAAAAAGGCAAGGCAATGATGATGATGTTTGTATTTTATGTTGGGCTAAAAAGGACTTGTATCCAGAGCCGTAAAATATTAAATAAAAAAAAAAAATAAATAAATAAACAAATGATTAATATTATTATTATACTTCGGCACACCTTAAATGGTTTAATTGTGTAGCCGACGCCAATAACAGGTCCCATGCTTATAATTATTTTACATAATTGTTTTTATAAACAGAACTTTTACCTCTTTGTATGCAAATTTGTTGTAAAACCCAAAGGTCATCTGACGGTTGCTTATGGAATAATAAAATTTACTTTCTGTTCATACGTGACATGTCACGACGTACAATTACCAACAGATAGGGCAGAGGCGCTCGTTAGCAATGTGTACTGATGAAACTGTTAGCATATGTACCATATCAGTCCGATCTCCACGCGGTTCCTCCTGGACTCTATTATGATCCTGTTAAATTCACCACGATATTTAGTTATTTATTTTGCGTACGATTATGATATAGTAATTATATCACATACATTATATGAATCTTGTTAGGTATAGTAACGTGGAAGAGAGGTGGACGTTTTAATATTATATATCTGCATTGTTAATATTCTTCAATGAGTTAACTGACTTGGCTACGTGCTCATCTTATCATCCTCCACTGGTGCTCCACCAGCGTAAAACATTAAGGTAAACGGGTGCACAAATAATAATA